TTGTAGGCTCGGAGTTACCGGATTAGGAAGGTCGGAGTTCGGAGGTCGGAACAGAGGTAGACCAAGGGAATAGATTGACAAGGGAGGTAGCGTGAAGGAAGGTAAACAGAAGGTAGCGAGGGGGTAAATGGGATGGGTAACAAGAGGGGTAACGAGATATCCGAACTGAGGTACTACGGCATTCCGGGCGCGTATTTAAGGAACAGAACCTTATTGTTAAGGAAGACAATAAGAGTGTAAGGAATATCAAATCCGGAGTTCGGAGATTCCGGAGTTCCGGAGTCCGGGGACAAAGACAATAGAGCTTATTGTTAAAGGACAAGATGATGAAAGAATGATGCAATCGTAAGGGAACGTACACATGAAATCCGGAGTTCCGGAGTGCGGGAAAGTCGGAGTATGAAGTCCGGAGCGCGGGAACTCGGAGTACGGAGTCCGAAGCGTGGGAATTCCGGAGTTCAGAGCGGAGGTGCGCACAGAGCATAACAGTGCCTTCCCACTAGGCCCGAACCCTTGAGGGCCTTAAGAAGGGGGTGACAGGCCAGGCGGGTGGAAGTCCGGGGGTGACAGTGAAGTGCAGGGCGGAGTCGGAGTGGTGAAGTGAACAAAAGGGTGGAAAAGGGTGGGAATTGGAGGTGCAAAAAATCGGAGTTTCGGAGAATGTGGGGAGTGAAAAAGGGTGGAGTTCCAGAAAACGCGGAGTTCCAGAACATGGAGTTCCAAAAATGCGGAGTTCGGAGGGTATAGGGGGCTCGGAGTTTGGGGTCCAGAGGTCCAAGCAGGAATGGAAGGAGCGACGGCTGGCCAACAGTGATGCGAGAGGGAAAGGGATGGAGCTTGAGGAGGCAGTCTGCCGGAGTTGGTGCCGAAAGTCCGAAAATCCGGAGTTCGGAGCGGAGTTCGGAGCACCGGAATGGCGAGGACATGCAGGCGCTGCTCCCCCCTCCCTAGGCCAGCAGGAGCGGACCGCTCTGGGGTCAGCTCGGAGTTCCAGGGGCAGGGTGAGGACTTGGGCTGTTGAAGCACCAGCGGTCAGAAAGGAGTCGGAGTCGGAGATGGGGGTGGGGACAGAAGGTCCGGAGTTCAACCACAGATTGCAAGTCTGGGAGAACACGTCTGGAGTTCCAGAAATCCGGAGCAAAGTCCGAGATTTTCGGAGTTCGGAGGGGGCGCCAAAGCGGAGTACGGGACCACCAGAGGTGTGGGTCGGGATTGAGTGCAGCACTCTCTCGGTCAATCAGCAGATTGTAGGTGAGGAGGCTTGCGGTATCCCAGACGTGACAGATATGGAAATGGTCAAGCGGAGTGACATGGAAGTCGGCAGAGAGTTCCCTTCGGAGGAAGGAAAACAGAGGTCGGAGACATGCAAAAATGCGGAGTTCCAGGGGGAAGTCCGAGGTTTTTGATGTTTGCTGACCGGAGGTCGGACGTAAAAATTCGGAGTTTAATGGTGGGGGTGTTCCGAGGGTATATGGAGGTTGGGACGGAGTTCCGGGGCCGAGTTGGATCGGAGAGAGGCGGAAATGCGGGGGGAAATGGAGAGAATGCGAAAAATGGAAGGAAACTGATGAGGGCGCCCACATGGAGTTCCTGCGATGACATGGGTTCTGGGGGGTCGGAGTTCCGCATGCGCAGGGATCCATGGGGTGCACTAGAGCTCGGAGTCCGAGATCAGGTCCTCCAGGGCCTCGGGGAACTCACCAGAGGCTTCTTTGGGAGGCTCCTCGAGCGGCAGGTCCAAAACCGCAAGATCTGGAGTTGAAGTCCGAGATTCCGGAGTTCCAGCCTCCTGGAGGTCCGAAATTGAGAGGGTCGGACTTGAGGGCTCGGAGGTCGGAGTAGGGGGGTCGGAGATGATGGAGAGGGCGTCAGAGCGGTCGGAAATGGAGCCAGAAGCAGAGGGTGTCGGACTTGGAGGTCCTCGGAGTTGCTCGGAGTTCCGCTCCCAGTAGCGGCGGTCCAGGGACTGTGCCAGAGTCCGGAGCTCATACAGGGAGTCGGGCTTGCCTAGGAGGGAGATGTGGTCCTTGAGGCGGTCCGGAAGTCCGAGGTAGAACTGGTACCGGAGGGCGGAAGTGCCCCAATGGACTTGAGTGGCGAGGCGACTGAACTCCGTGATGTAGGCCCCAATGTGGTCGGAGTTTGCCATCCGGAGGTCCCGGAGTTCGTGCTCAGCATCTCCGGAAGCATCATAAGGTCCGAAGTTGACCCAGAGCTCGTCCCGGAAGGCCGAAAAATCGGACATGAACACCGGGGGTGCATCGGAGGGACCTTCGAGGAGGTAGGGCTCAAACCACTGCAGGGCTGTCCCTTTGAGGTAGGAGAGCGCATAGGTGACCCGTTTCTCGTCGGAGTCAAAAGTCCGGGGCCGGGCCTTGAAGACAAGCTCCAGCTGAGTGAAGAAAGTCCGGAGTTCGGTCGGACTTGAGCCGTCAAACTGGTCGGGAGACCGGACATTGTCCCGCTCCTTTGGGGCTGGTGTCGGAGCAGAGACGGTGGACAGGACTTGGGTGAGGAGGGCGATGGCCTGTGCGAGGCTCTGACTGGGGGTGGAAGGAGGTGCGGGAACTCCGGTCGGAGTACGGGGCGCAGCCACCGGAGTTCCGGAGTTCCAAAAGGGGTTGGTGGATGGAGAAGGAGTGGTGATGCGGAGGTTGCGGGGCTTCCGGGCAGAGAAGCCCTGAAAGATGTCGTCAGAGTCGGAGGGCATTGGAGAGTCTCAGGATGAGTTCGGATATACTGTTAGGGACGTGCGACACGGTAGGTCCGGAGTTCGGAGTTCCAGGGTCCGGAAGGGTCCGGAGTTCAGACGGAGTCTGGACGGAGGTGAGGCACGGAGGGGAAGGACTTCAGCGAAGCTATTAGCAACGCTCTGAGACCTCCTGCAGTTGTCCTTAATTTCCGAAGGAACGAGGGGGTCGGACTTGACCGGAGTTCGGGGCTGACTAAGCCGGAGTTCCACGCTGACTAAGCGGAACTAAGTCCGAGACAATTGGAGCAGAACAGAGAAGAGGATGAAGAGGATGGCGAGGGACGAAGTCCAAGGGGACTTGTCGAGCAAGCAAGATCAAATGAAGTCCGAAGTCCGGAGTTCCGGAGCTTGTAGGCTCGGAGTTACCGGATTAGGAAGGTCGGAGTTCGGAGGTCGGAACAGAGGTAGACCAAGGGAATAGATTGACAAGGGAGGTAGCGTGAAGGAAGGTAAACAGAAGGTAGCGAGGGGGTAAATGGGATGGGTAACAAGAGGGGTAACGAGATAT